CCCAGTATTTTCATATGTGTTACACAATGGCTCAATTATAAGAAAGATGTGGAAGCGAGAAATATAAATTTGATAGATTTTCATTCATGTTTTTCAATTTTTATTTTGATGATTCGAAAACATTTCATTTTCAAAATAAAAATAATTTGATGATAATTTGTTTGTTTGTTTACATTTTTCTGTCAAATGAGTTGACACTAGTAGAACTTACAACAACAAATTTCCATGTGGTTGTTGTATCGTTTTTTGTACAAGAACACTTGCTGTTACCTTCTATTATTATGCCATGAGTTATATATGGTCTGTTCCCGTACTGCAAGAATTTACTAATTTTTACTATATTTTTCGATATCATAAAGGAAAATTTGTTATCGTAGTAAAAAATAGTAGATTGTTGCAGTACGGAAACATACCAATTGCTAGTTACAGAGGTATCTAGTTACTTTATACCCTAATGCCATGTACAGACGGGCATAGTTCGCTCTCTCATTCGTCGTTCGACCCATAATTATGAAGGAATTACTTAGTTCCCCATACAAAATTGTCTGAGCGAACACCGAATTTTTTACATTGTTCAATTCGAATCACTCTCTGAATAACCAAGAAAATTGTCCCATCCCTAACAATTGAGAGCATTTATCGAAAATAAATTAATTTTGACAGCTTGAAAATATTTATAAAAATTTCAAACTTTTTTAGTAAAATTGAAAATGATGAATGAAAAGTAAAAAATTCTCTAGTTTTTATATATGTAGCAGGATATAAATTTTGTTACCTACATAATGCAATATGAATTTCTTTCCCATTGGTTCTAATTAGCGTACAAAACAAGAAACAAATGTGGGGCAACTCAAACAAAAAATTCTCCAAATTTGTATGTGTGACATTTGAATTTAGAAAATATAAAAATGTATGAAAACAACAATATTTTCAGAAAAATGGAAAACATTAATTAAAAGTAAATAGATATGGATTCATACTAAAGTCAGGAGAAAGAGAATTTTTTTCTATTTAGATCCATATATGATTCATGTAAATATGTTAGAATTTTGATGTAAAACAAGAAACAAAAAGTTTGAAATAAAAAACTCTGATGGCATGAATTAAGAATAGTTTTGTATGAACGGGTTAATTCATGTACGTAATTCCGAGAGCGAACTACGTTGTTCGTATGCCCGTCAGAACATGGCATAAAATGATACAGAAAATAGACTGTTGGATTTATTTGTCGATTGAAAAAGTTGTCTAAGCAAATCACTATTTTATAGATTACCAATGGATATAGTAATAATCAATTTTTCTCTCTTCGATATAAATTCTCTATGCCAAAACAAATAAAGGACAATTGTTTGGTCATTTTGTTTAGAATGTTTATTCAAAAGAATAACGCATACATATTGAATATATATATGTATATATATAAAAGAAACTGGGTTTCATATCCTGTACTTTACGTAAGTTTTATACAAAATTATAATTTTCACAGATTTTCTAGGGTTAGGCGTCTATCAAAAGCCTCAAATCGAAGAGCTGCCCACATATCGAAGGATTACGGGTATTCTATGTAAAGAAAGAAGATTCGATGGCGGCGTTATTTAACTATAGTTTATACGTTAAACAATGTCATTGCAATATTGTATAATTTATTAAAAATACCAAACAAATATAGTTTTAAAGAAAAACGTTTATACAAAATCATGGTACAATTATAAAAGGTAACAGCAAATCCCAGCTGATTTAATTCCAAAGTAATACTAGTGTCAATATGAATTTGACAAATTATGTTTTTAAAAATCACCCAACAGGAAAATTGGGAACGCATACAATTTGAAATTGTTCTTTATTAAATGTGCTCTTGTATTCAATTTACTCAATCTGCCTGCTGGGAAAGTTTGAGGAAGCAAATCTTTCTTCAAGGAATAACTCGATATTCCCAGCATTCTCATATGTGTTACACATATATATGGCAATGGCTCAATTATAGGAAAGATGTGGAAGCGATAGAAATATAAATTTGATATATTTTCATTCATGTTTTTCAATTTTTATTTTGAGGACTCGAAAATATTTCATTTTCAAAATAAAAATAATTTGATGATAATTTGTTTGTTTGTTTACATTTTTCTGTCAAATGAGTTGACACTAGTAGAACTTACAACAACACATTTCCATGTGGTTGTTGTATCGTTTTTTGTACAACAACACTTGCTGTTACCTTTTATTATTATACCATGATACAAAATATATAGACCACATGTCACTTCTGATTACTGAAAAAGCTGGTTACTAGTAAGGCAGGTAGGGGACAATTGTCTTCCCCATTGACATACCAAAGTTAAATTCACCAGCCATGTGCATGAAGTTGTAAATAGTGGTACTCGAACTACTGGGATGTGAAATAAATTCAAATTAAATTGAAATATATTCAAATTTAATTGAAATAAAAATATATATTTTACCGCGTTCTTCTGATATTAATTACTTTGCTCTGATTGAAACAAACATTTCATTGTATTCCCTACTGGATTTTGGGTTAGTCATAACCCTTCATTTATTTTCGCGTTTTCAGTTATGTGTTGAAAATGTCAAATAAACAAAACCTATGATTTTTTTATGTCTGACAGAAAAGCCACTGCCTACATAAATGATTTTTTGTTATTCACCACAGGTAGTCCTACAGTACGTTTACATTGTACTGGATTTCGTTATTCCAGTGGGCATTAATCGTCAATTCCTTTACATATATGTCAAATAAATACTCATAAAGTGGTTTAACCCGGAAAAAAGTTCTAATGTACATGCGGTTTTACATTGTATTATTGTTCCATGGGTGCTATGCAATGTGCCAAAAAGCTTTAAAAATTTTAATACTTAACTAATAACATCTAATAAAATTCTATACATATTATTTGAAAATATAAAGCATACGAACACATCTATTGTTTGCCTCAGCTATTTTTGTTTTTATTTGATCAAACGTAACATCTTGCTATACAATCATAACATATATTGTCATTTGATTTTGAAACATCAAATATTTAGCACCCCGCTGTGTGTATATATGAGCAGATAAGAATATACATTTCGTCTAATAGGAGCTTAAAGATAACAATTTGGAATAATTGAATTTGTTGTGTTGCCATCTACCTTTACATTCATTCGATATTTTAATTATCGATTAGACAAGTTGTTGACCGTTTAGTGCGAACTCTCCTATTAATGTAATCAATCGATTTATACGTTGACGATACCTTCGGACAGACGGGAAACACGAAGCTATCAAAGATGGACGATTTCTTCGGAAAATAATTAAAATCTGTGCTTTTAAATCGCCAATAATACGTTCCGAATTTTCTACTCATCCGAATAATAGTGACCGAAGGCCGAAGTTGAGACGGAAGGTACGAACGTGGTAATTAGCAGTTGAGCAAATGAGCCTTGGTTCTCCCCAAAGTTGCGATAATTATCGTGGTTTGTGTTTCGCTTTCTCTCCCTCTTCCGATATTCGATAATTATCGTTGTGTTCTCTGCCTTGCTGAGATTCGTTAATGGTGCCATCTCTATTGACATTTTTGTTGAAAGAAAATTTAATTTTTTCATTTGATTGTCTTATTTTTTTATAACAAAATTGAGCCAAAGGCAAATACATCCACAAGTTTTGAAAAGTACGCAAAGTCCCATGTGAATATTAAAAGTGTATCTGTTGCAAATGCTGCAAGCATTTAAAGCAAAAGAAATCGGATGCTCATTTACAGAAAAAGAAATAAAACGAAAGAGAAGAAGGAACGCATGTTAAGCAAGCCCGAAGTTGTCCGGTTTCATACGAATCACGTATGTACGTACCTTCAAAAGACGAGAAAATGTCCGTCTGTTCGTAATAGCCTTACAGTGATTGTTTTCTACCGATTTTTGTGTGCTTCGCCAAGATTTGGCCCTATCCTGGACGTATCCAAGTGGCCAGCATTTAAAACGCGAAGAACTGTGTCTGAGTGGGGAACAGGTAAATTGTTGTTGTTGCCACTGCTGCTACCACTCGAGTTGGGGTACAAGAAAAATTCTCATAGTTTTTTGTTCTATAGTAGCTAGTTGATTATTGGATGGTTGGTTGAATGTGTGTATGATGGTATGGTTTGGTTCGTGTATAGTGTAGTGCACTTGCACATACAAATCCGAATGTGAGTAAAGAACTCAGATGAAATATAAACTTAAGCAGAGACGTAGAGGAGCGTATGTTATGACAAAGGCAAATGCAAGCGGTCAGCAGTATCGAAAATGACAAAAAAGTGTACAATGTAAGAGGATCCTCCAGTTGGTGGCAATATGATATTTGCCTTTTATGTAAAGAAATACGTCAATGCCTTCATATCAACATTAGGGAGACCAGCAGAAATTTCATTCGCATTGAAAGTCATTGTATGCAGAATCACAAATACATGTCCTCAAGAAGTTTTCCTATCTTTTTGTCACATCATCAGATCCATGTACATACACAAAATGTATACAATTGACTAACATACGTTATAATTTTTTTTATTTTATATTTTTATTTCAAGTAAAGAATGTACCTATATTAGCGAATTTATCAAGTGCCATGGAAATTTTAGTATAGTCCAAAATATATTTTTAAATTCTTTCCAAAACGTTATTGATGGCGGCAGAAATTATTATAGGTGAGAGCAAGTTCGATACAGTGGACAGTACATAATAATTTGGATTAATGTTTTGATTTAGAAATTCCATGGTACTTTCTAGTTTTCGAATTTTATAGATCAATTTTTATAGATTGTGCAAATCTATTTAGTATTTGATGCCAAATTTTCGTCTCTCATCAAATAGCAAAGTTGCAACAACAACAATGACCTTTTTATTAAATTAATTTTAAAATCCTACATTTTGTAATTATTATATTCCTTGAGGAATGTAATGTTATGCATTGATATTTAGTACATTATTTATGCGAGTAAACGTATTCATAACATGCCTTCTTTATATTTAGTTTCAGAAGGAGCAGTAATAAAACGGGGCACAAAAACGCCAGAGGATTATATTTTAGAAGCGTCAAAGTACGCTCTTTTTACGAGGCCGGTTCCAATACCGGCATCGATATATATAAGTTTAGGCAGAAGATGGCCAATACTCTTTCCGTCATGACAAACGTATTGAGAAATGTGGTCAGCAAACAGCGAATTCGCTACAAGGAGAATGGTTTTAACTTGGATTTGGCATGTAAGTACTTGTCGCAGTTTGTACAAGAATTGTGTCTAAAACTTTCTATATTCCTTTATTTTTAGATGTTTGTGATAATATTATTGCAATGGGATATCCTGCCGAAAAGTACGAAAGTATGTACCGAAACCGATTGGAAGATGTTCAAAAGTTTCTAGAGGAAAATCACAAGGATCATTATAAAATTTACAATCTATGTCTGGAACGTAGCTATGATATTAGCAAATTTCATGGGGTAATTTAATTTAACAAATATGTGGGTTGTATTGTGGATAACCATTTAACTAATTTAGACAGTTTCACCATATATTTTTTATTATTACTAAAGACTCATAGCTTAAAATGGAAAAGATAATAGAAAATCGTAGGGAACAAATGCAATTTACGGACACATTTTAGAACATTTTGAACTTTGTATCATAGGTAGGCTGACCCTGTTCACAACAATATGCGTAGTTTTCGTGTGGAAATCAGTATTTTCCGAGACTCCAAATTCCCAAACTCCAAATTCCCAAAAATAATCCCACTTTTTTAAATATCTTTAAGAATACAATTCCAAAAGCCACATTATATAATTTTATATTTCTGAAGGTATTAAAAATATATACAGTAAAGTACGGTTATAGCGAACTAGTGGTGACCGAGCAAATTAGTACTTTCCGAGATATGGGACTCCAAATTCCCAAAAATATACCCACTTTTTAAATATCTTTAAGAATACAATTCCAAAAGCCACATTATATAATTTGATATTTCTGAAGGTATTAAAAATATATACAGTAAAGTACGGTTATAGCGAACTAGTGGTGACCGAGCAAATTAGTTCGTTTAATCATGGTAAGCCCTAGGATAAGAAGCATGGTATAATTGTACGAAGTAACTGCAATACTCAGCTGATTTGATTGTATATTTTGATCGTGATAGATTTGATTTGATCGTGTCAAGTTCAATATGACATTTTTGATTTATGGTTTTAAGCGAGTTATTTATACTTATTCGATTCGAGTCGATTTATGTAGAACGACCCAGCAGGAAAATTTTGTACACATTATATTTGAAATAAAAAAATACGATAATACAAATTCAGCTTTAGGGAATCAGAAAAAAACAACACCATTTTGTGAAATGTTTGACATTTATCTTTGCTATTTTCTGCAGACGATAGGAAAATATAGTATCGGCGTTTATTTTTTTCTGAACTAGTTTTACAACCATGAATTGGCATGAGTATTTCATCATGTTTTTCAATTTTATTCTTAAATCAAATTTATTGATATTTGATATGTTATGTTTACCTTTTTCGACAAATAAAACGGACACTAGTATTACAATACTAATTATATGTGGTTGTTGTTGAAAAGTTCGCCATGTCCGTAGTTCGCTATAAGAGTAAAGATTTGTATGAAAAATCTGTCTTACAACTTCGGGGCCAGGAGATGTGTTCGCAATAAAGAAAGTTGGTTATAACCGGTGTTTGTTATAAGCGTACTTTTTACCACCCTAGCAAATTTGTCTTTTAATTTCAATTTCTTTCAAAGTAGATTTACAACTTTCTCCTATGGACAAGTGGAAAATTTGGCTAGGCGAGCACAAATTCTTTTGATTTCTATTTTAAACTCAATCCTTAAACTTCACATAAGACGAACATATGAAACCCAAATGGGCTTATGTTTCGGAGTGTCAATCTTAAAGATAATTTAAAAAGTGGGGTATTTGTTGATCTTTGGAGCTCCATATCTTAGGAAGTACTGAATTCCCCCGAAAAAAGGCGCATGTTGATGTAATCAGTATCATAAGGGCTACCTATGGTAAACATTTTTTTACTTTTTAAAATTAATATTCCCTTTTTCATACTCCACATTCCTACAGATTTTGCAATGAGCAGAAATATTCCAAATACAACCCGCAAATTTGTTCTTCATATGCACCCTTGATTGTTACTTAATTTAAACCCTTTATTTTATTTTCAGCGAGTTTCAGTTTATCCGTTTGAGGACCACAACCCACCTACAATAGAATTGATACAACAATTTTGTGAAGATGTTGATTCTTGGCTAAAAGCAGATCCCCAAAATGTTGCAGCTGTGCATTGTAAAGCCGGCAAAGGTCGTACAGGTATGTTCATTGTATTTAGAAAAGTTTTTTCTTATTATTTGTTGATATTAATTTATTTCTATTTCAAGGAACAATGATCTGCTGTTATTTACTCTATAGTGGACAACAACGTACCGCAGAAGATGCTTTGGCCTGCTATGATGAAAAACGAACAAAGGATCGTAAAGGAGTTACGATACCATCGCAGCGACGTTATGTTCAGTATTTCTCCAAACTGATACGTATGGGTTTATCATATAGTCGCCGTTCACTGCAAGTATGTGTTTAACATATTCGTTTTCGAAAAATATACATTATATATATTTGAATTTTAACAGTTCTGCGAAATACGATTTTCGGGGGCCAATGCATTACACAGTCAAGGCTCTGTACATTGCTCAATTTCTGTGTTAGAAGATAAAGTTAAGGTAACGTTAAGTAATGCAGCTTTAAAAGATTTATATAAAAAAGCTTATTACCAATTTTACTATATTTTAGCCACTGCAAAATTTTATCATAGATTTTCGTAAACAGAGTGTACTGGATGTAAAATTGACAGTTTCTGGCGATATAAAAGTCGAACTAACGAAAAACACCAAAAAAATATTTCATTTCTGGTTCAATACGTTCTTTGTAACAGATACTGCGGGTAAGTTGCAAATTGGAATATTAATAATCTATATACTATAGAATTCAATAATGTGTATTTTATATTTACAGTTATTGAAGGAGAGGGCAACGATGCAAAATACATATACACTCTAAACAAATCGGAAATAGATGATGCGCACAAGGATAAAGAGCATAAGTGTTTTTCGGAAGATTTCAAGGTAAGAAGTGTAAATTTATAACCGGTTTCGTACACTGTTATTATTTTACTTTTTTTTAATATCTTATATCAATGTAACGCTAAGTACTTGCCTTGTCAAGTTGATGTGCGTTGCGCTTCGGAGTAAAATAAATTTTATCTTTTTGTGTGTGTTAACGCGATAACAAAAAACGCTCAACGCGAACCTTCTGCTTAGCCCTTAAGAGTGATTATTGGCCAAAACATGAAAATGTAGTAATACTCTAGCGAAAGTATTGACAGAATATATCAACTAATAATAGGAAAGGATGGATTTAATGTACTAAAACCAAAACATTCTCCTGTTATTCGAATAAATATTTGAATGCGAAACAATAGTAGTTAAACATCGTTTAGTGAAATGTCAGAAATATTATAAAAAAAAATGTTCACTGACCGTCAGGAATAATGATCGCAGCATCACCATTAAATACTATCTAATGCGTTAGTTTTGTTAGTCAACAGATTTTTCTGCGTTTGCTTATCGCAAGAAATTGCGTAGCACTAATATTTTATGACAACTATGACTTCCAACTGGCATATAACTTTATAACAAAGTTACTATTACGCAAATCCAAGTACGACTAGAGGGCACATATATTGTTGTTTATACAACATTTGAATTTTGGCCGAATGTTTTAACGAATTTGTTCTACGGTCTGTTCTTCCTTTTTGGTGAAAAAGTAAACATGTACTAGGGAGGTTTGAGTGACACTTCACTACCCGATACGATTTCTACACCTATTTCGATTCTTATAGACAGGGTGCGCAAAATGATTCAAAATACATACGCTATTTTTGTTTACCAAACGAGCATTCGCCAAACAAATGTTCGCGCGCACATAACAAACATAGCACACAACAACGTTTGTTGGTTGGTTGTTGTGACATTCGCTCACGAATGAAAACAAACATGCTCGAATGTTTAAAACAACAACAAGAAGAGATTGAAAATGCTCCTTCATTCATTGTAATTTTATCATTCGCGATAAATTTAAAACATTTGAATTCTCGCCGTGAGCATTCGTGAGAAAGAGCGTAGTTTAATCATTCTCCGCACCCTGGAAAAAATACAGTTCACCGATAAAACAGCTAATTACTCGTGATTATAAAAAAGGGTAAGACAAAAATTACACTGTGCTACAAAATAACAAAAAAAAAAAAAAAAAAAAAAAAAATCAGGGGTTCTAATGTAGCAATTCTGTTTAGTTGGAGTCCCTGGACCACGAAAATACTTTTGGTTTTTCTGGGTCACTTCGAAAATTAATTTTATAACGGTAAATATAGAGAAAAACGTGCTTTCATGGATTTTCAATTTGAAACTCGAATAACTTCTTTTATTTCTAATTTCTTTCTCAAAATCTCATAGCAAATGCTTACGGCTTGTGTAAACCGAATACATGAATGCCAATATGCTTTTCGTCATGGACATAATACTACTCACTTGCTGCTTCAACTAACTCACTCGATTCTTAAAACTATTAATGATGGTAGGATTAGTATTATGGTATCCTTAGATTTGTCTGAAGTCTTCAATTTTATTGATTAAATACGTCTATTAAGTAAGTTAAAAGGTGAACATAACTTTTCCAGATCTTCTTGTAAATTATTTGTTTTCGTATTTATATGAAAGGAGTCAATTTGTCGTGTTAAATTGTGCTGAATCTAGTATTCTAAAGTTGTTCTCCGGGGTACCACAGGGATCTGTCCTTGGCCCACTTTTGTTTATTTTATATATACTCCTAGTTGTTTTGCCTTCTTTTAACATTTTCTTGAACCAAATTAGAATAGATTTTGTACAGCATCATAAATCTTTTTGGTGTAATTATTGACTGTGATTTTTCGTTTAGAAGTCACATTGATGCTTGTTCGGCAAAGTATGGAGCATGTTACGCAGGATTTATGGGTCAAATTTGAAACCTTCCTTACCGAATAAAATTAGTGCTAGCTAATTCTCTTTTACTATCTCAGGTTTTGTACGGGTACAATCGGTGTAAATATTAATAAATTGAAGCGTATTGTGAATACTATTATACGTTTTGTATACAATCTTCGCATTTTTTCTCATAGCAATAATGTTTTTCGTCTGAAAATGATTTAGTATTTTCAAGAATTACTTGAATAGCATATTAAATATACTTTTATTTTGTTATTACTTAACCAGTCGGATTGTGCTACCGCTCATTGAACTGCTATTATCTTTCCATTTTTTCTATTTTTTATTGGCTTGGGAGTCATGAAATTTGAACTTATGTTAAAATTTAATTTAAAAATTAATATAGTTACATAGTTTTTATTTGTATAATTCATTTTAATAAATTGGCCACTGAAGGTATCGTATTACATATGAATCTTTAATAAATAAATAAAAAAAAATTGGAAATCGACTCAGAGAAATATTATGTTATGTTATCGGAGTTATTAAAGTTACATTTTAAAATTGTGACTCAGTTTGACAATAACCTCAAACATACACCGAAGCATGTCGATGAATGTTTACTGGAGTTAAAAATCATGGTTTTATAGTGGCTTGCAGAATCATTAAACTTCATTCATATAGAAAAATCAAACAAACAAAACGACTTTCTAAGGGTTCAGGATGCGAGGAGTCAAATCAAATTGAGCATCTTAAAGATTCAATGCCTCGTAGGTGTATTGCCTAATCAAATATAATGGTTATGCCGATTACTAGCAAAACTTACCTATTTCTAAGAGAAGATCAAAAAGTTGATTTAGTTTTGATCAATCAAAAATTGGGTAAATTTATTTTTCCGTAGAATATTTGTTATTTCAAAATAAATATAAGTTTATTTTTAAAAAGTTGCAGGTTATTTATTCAGTTGCCTTAGTAGGTTGCAGCAGCAATAATGTCTCCGAATATATGATCAGATATGAAGGGAAATTCTTTTCATCGACGATTCTTAATTCTGGCCAATTAGTTTTGATATTAGGAGGTTTACTGATGAATGAGACTTCGGAGAGGAGAATACTCGGCAAGCCAACAGTTTTCGTGAAAAAGGCACAATCGAGTAGTTGAATCCCGAGCTAAATTGTGTTTGAATTTCACGTTTTTTGCTCCTTCAAATATGATAATGTCAATAACAATGTGTATTCCAATATATACATACTCCTGTATATACAGGCTGATCATGAATATCCCTAAGGAATTCTATTCTCTAGAAAATCCATTTTCTGGAGAATGAAATGATGATGAAAAAATCGATAAAAATATGTAAATGTGTAAAAATACGGAAGACAAATTTAGCAACAACTGTATCCATGCATTTATTACGTGCTATTTTTGATATATTTTTCGATTTGTAATAGTGACTTTTTGCGTTTATTTTATATGTTTTCTTCAAAATTTATTCCAAAAAATAGTTGTTTTTCCACTACCATATATTCATATTCGTCATATTTGTTTTTTGTAGAAAACGCAAGTTTGATTGAAGGGTATCGTGAAACCTATTTTTTTGTTCATGTCATAAAAAGGGGAAACTGCGAACATACAATAATATTAGATTTTATTTGTTCTACGCTCAAGCAAAAATCTACATTAGAGTATACAGAGTTAAAGTCAATACACATTTTACTAAGAGGATCTCCCATAGAGTAATTCGTGCGGTGGAAGTCTACATATAACAGTTGATAGTGTCTACTAGATCGGACAGGAACATTTATTCTAATAGAAGAAATAGTGTCTACTAGATCGGACAGGAACATTTATTCTAATAGAAGAAATTAGGAAATCCGAAGGTATATTACCATTTAACATTTTTAGTACCATCATAGTATTCAACATAATACGTCTACTTTTCAATGTAGGCAAACGAATTAATTTAACCTGCTAGTATAAGATGGCAACACAAAACTACTATTCCAATGTAATCCTCTCAGTGCAAAAAGTAAAAATTGTTTCTGCACGGATTCGATATTATCGGAATATATTGCATAATGGGGATCCCATACAACAGAACCATATTCTAAAATAGGTCTAACAAGAGACGTAAATAGTTGTTTCGTAATATATGTGGATCCGAGAATTCTTTGGTCCACCGTTTTATAAATCCTAAGACACCATAGGCTTTATTTACCATAGATATAACATGATTGTTAAAATTTAATTTTGGATCCATTAGAATACCAAGATCAAAGAAAGAATCTACAGTTGATAAAACCGAACCATTAATAGTGATAGTAATGTTTTATCAAGAAAGAATTTCTAGAAAAACACATATGTTTACATTTATTTAAATTCAAGTCCATACAATTTAGGCTGCACCATTGAAATAGGCTATTTAAATCATGCTGGAGTAAATCAGCTTGCTTTTCAGAATGATGGTTAATGAACAACTTGACATTGTCTGCATACATTAACAATTTGGAATGCGATACAGTAGAAACAGAATCGGGCCTAGGTGACTTCTTTGCGGAACACCTGATGGAACATTAATCGATTTTGAAAGACATCCCTCAAGCAAAACTAGCTGTGTCCTATTTTGTAAGTAAGATGAAATCCCATTTATCAAATTTATACTAAAGCCAATATGATTTAATTTATAAAGTAGAAGTTTATGGTTAACCCTATCAAAAGCTTTACTAAAGTCTGTATAAATTGTATCAGTTTGTTTACGCTGAACAAATCCCTTTATCACAGTAGAAGTAAAGTGTATAAGATTGGTAATAGTTGAATGACCACTGAAAACCATGTTGATATGGACTTAACAAGGGTTGAATTCTGTGTGAAATAACGGTAATAATTAACTTTTCGAACAATTTTCGAATAGCACTTAATTTTGCAATTCCTCTATAATTCGAGACATTTGTTAGACTACCAGACTTGTGTAAGGGTATTATGTAAGACTTCTTCCAACAAGTAGGAACATAACCATATTTAAGGGAATAATTTAATATTAACGTTAGAGGTAATGCTAATGTATCTGAACAATTACTTAGAATTATGCTGGGTATACCATCAGGGCC